CTGAGATCTTCTTGAGCTCCTCTTTGCAGAAATCCTCCAGTTTGTTTCTCAGCTGATGGACAGATTCTCTCAGAGCATCAGAAGAGACGAGAGAACTGAAGAGATCATCATTTACGTCTGTAGATTCAGGAGGTGCTGAGAGAGACTGGAAACTCTACAGAAAGCAGAAATGTAGATTCAGGAGGTGCTGAGAGAGACTGGAAACTCTACAGAAAACAGAAATCAAAACTCATCAGCTCCACACTTCACTCAATAACCTGCAGGAACATCAGATTTGTGCGGCTCTTGTTGACTTGACTGATCTTTAGTAACTCAGCTCAATCCAGCACTTTCACAGCATCAGCTTCATTCTTCTCATATTCATTATATGACATTAGAGCTACAGATTCTAGTATTTGCCACTTACACTCTATGTGAACTTTCTAGAAAATAGTTTGAATGATAAAACATCTGCTAAGAACATAAATGTCCATCTAACAGCTCAGTGGATTCTCGTTGTAGGGTTGAGTAGATTTGCTCAGGAAAAGCAGCTCAAAGGCTATGATTAGATTGACTGTTATTTATAAATTTAGAGCAGTGAGAGACACTGAAACTTCACAAGGACCCTTAAGACACGCTCGGGTTTGGTTTGGTTTGAATACACTGAAGTATTGCTGATATATAGACTGACTTCATGTTTGGGGTCTTCATGGTCAAATTCATCAATGTGTTACAGGCAAATAAAACCCCTCTCTGGTCTGAGATTTGGGAGTCTGGATGACATGGACGGTTTTCACTACAAAACACATCTGCAATTTAGCTCTTCAGTCACATTCAAATTAAACTACAACTAGTTTATATTTAATAAACTCTTTTCTGAAAATAAATCCGTATTTACCTAACTTTGACATATTTTGTATGCCATCTACGCAGAACTGCTGCAGTTTGTCTCTGAGCTGAGAGACTGATTTCACTACTTCATCAAAAGAGGGCTGAGAACTGACAGCGAAGCCATCTGTAGATCCAGAGAGAGAGCCAGATGGCCAACTCTACAGACACAGACAAAAACGTCTGTTACACCTGCTGAATCAATGACTTCTTAATGAATAAATGTAAACACCTTGAGGAAATGAATATGGTCCTCTGTCTCTGAAAGCTGCTCCAGCGCAGCGTCTCTCCTCTTCAGATCATCAATCTCCTGCTTCAGTCGCTCCAGTCGTTCTTCAGCTCGACTCACTGCAGTCTTCTCCTGATCTCTGATCAGCCGTATCAGCTCAGAGTGGCTTCTCTCAATGGAGCGGATGAGCTCAGTAAAGATCCTTTCACTGTCCTCCACTGCTGTCTGTGCAGACTGCGGTTAGGACACACAGTGATTCAGGCTTCAGTGAGTCTGAACTGAGATGGAGACAAACTTCTCTTCTTCTCCAGACTCACCTCATGAGACTCCACAGCCTCTCTCAGCTGCTGAAGATCTTTCTCTCTCTGCTGGATTCTCTGCAGGAGCGTCTTCTGCGTCTCCTTCTGCTGGTGCTGGAGGACAAATGGATGATAGTGAATCTCACAGAAAACTACTGCCACTAAATCATCATGTGAACAGATGAATCCAGTAAAAGTGGAGCTGATAACTAATGGCTGTAGGTTCAAACTCCAGAAGTGATGATCGACTACAATCATCATATCAGCATGAATTACTACAAGTGTAAGTATTATAAAAGTGAAACTGACAAAGACGTAGAACTTCAAACTGATAGTGTTTGTGCTGTGTAGCAGAGTTTGCATTTTGACGGATGGAAATATATATTTTGTCAAAGAACAGGTGAAAAGTATAATCAAGGCCATTTTTAAGAAAGATTGTGTTGATAAAGGTTTACGGTGCATCTTCAGCAAACAGTGAAACTTTTCTTGCAGCTACTGTTCATTTCTGCTGCCATGTGATGTGTGAACGCTGTAAGCTGTTAATATCGGTGCCGATATAAACACATATGAAACGATTGTCAGCAATATTTCATTAGCATCTAGTTTTAAGTCATCTCATTAGCATCATAGTTTTAAGGCACATTCTCTGTGTGTATGTGCCTACATGTGGAAGAATTGACAATAAAGCAGACTTGACTTGACTTGACTTAAATACCTGTTTCTCTGTCCTCTGTTCTGCTGCTGATACAATGTCATGGTTTTTATGTTCAATAATCGTACACATCATACATATACATTTCTGATCAGTGCGACAGAAAGCCTCAAGGAGCTTCTCATGTTTCTGGCAGATCATCTCCTGCAGTCGTCCAGTGGCATCAGTCAAATTGTGTCTCTTTCCTTTAAACAAACTCTCATGTTGTTCGAGGTGATTCTGACAGTAAGAGTTCAGACACACCAGACAGGACTTGACGGCTTTGTATTTTCTTCCAGTACAGACGTCACACTGCACATCTCCAGCTCCAGCGTAACAGTCAGCAGGAAGCTTGGTCTTCTTCAGTTTCTCCACCACTTCAGCCAGCACGGTGTTTCTAGCTAAAGCAGGTCTTGGACTGAAGGTCTGTCTGCACTGAGGGCAGCTGTAGACTCTTTTCTGATCCTCCTGATCCCAGCAGTCGGTAATACAGCTCTCACAGTAATTGTGTCCACAGGAAGTTGTCACTGGATCCTTCAAGAGATCCAGACACACTGAACACAAGAACTCATCCTGAGAAAATATGGCTTCTGCCATTTTACTGCATGAATACAGAGACACGAACACACAACAGCTCAACTACACTTTCAGTTTCTCTTTCACTGAAATCACGTGATTCCTGTTTCCTGCTTCTGTGTTTCAGTCACGTGTTTGTCTGCACATTCTCTCATACTGTAACACCTTCATGTTCCTGCAGTCTGTTAGATGTGCAGAATCTCTGTGTCTCATGTGTCAGGTGTTAAAACAATACTCTGCACACACTTTTACTACCATGCACTGTAAAAATAATCCTGTGTATTTACAGTACATTACAGTAGAAAAACATTGGCAGCTGTGGATGCCAGAAACTCACTGTAAAAATATGCTGATGGCATTTCAGACGCACTGGATCTACTTTAAAACTATTTTCACTCAGATACTAGTCAACTACAAAAACACAAAGTAGCAGCAAGTAAATTAAATTAAATATGAAAAATAGTATTTCCCCTTCAGGAACTCGAGCTGCGTCGAGATTGCTTTGGGAATGACCCTGCGTGACCGCGTTCTGAAGCACGTGTCCAATCCGTCCAATGGAGCAGCGAGACGTCACCAGCGGGGTGACGTAAGCACCAGAAAGCATAAAAGCGCATCCGGCCGAGTGCCACTCAGCTTTCTGCCTTCAGTAGCGCTCTGTGTATGTGTCTGTCTATTTACTGTTGTCTGTCCGGGAAAAAAAAGCACAAGCACTCATATATAACAATGAAAAAGTCTATGGCGAGCGAACGACAGTACAAATGCTGTGTTCCTCCCTGCCCACGATATCTGACGGCAGGGGATACACACGATTTGTGTGTCGTTTGTTTGGGAGCGGAGCATGCACGGTCAGCTCTCGAGGGGGCTGGTTGTCATGATTGCGAGCTGCTCTCGCTGCGCACGCTCCGCTCTCGCCTGGCCGTGTTTGATGAGAGCGGCCAGGCTCGCGATCCCGCAGGCAGCGGTCCCGCTGTTGCCGAGGCACAGCGCAGACTGTTGTCGTGGGGATTGCAAGTGGATTTAGCGGAGGGATCCGAGACGGGCTCATCCTTTTCTCGGTCCTCACCCGCTAGATCCGCGGCTCTTCCCCCCGGAGAGAGAGCCAGGCACTTCATCTATCTTCCTCCGAGGAGGTAGAGGTGATGAGTGTCGAGACAGAGGAGACTGTGGACTCGCCACCACAGTCCCTCGCGTATGAGGAGCTCGTGGAGGTTGTGACTCGTGCGGTAGCCAAATGAAACATCGATTGGCCAGCCGAGAAACAGGACGCTCGTCCTAGAAGCAAATTAGACAAGCGTTTCCTGAAAGCGAGGTCACAGCCTTCACGACGGGGCCTTCCGTTTTTTCCCGATCTCCATGCCGAGGTGTCAAGATCGTGGGAAAGACCGTATTCTTCCCGTATATATAGCCCCACAGTCTCTAATTATTCTAATATCGTGGGGCTGAATGAGAAGGGATATGGGGCGATGCCAATGGTGGAGCAGACGCTCGCGAGCTATCTCTCCCCATCTTCAGCATCGTCCCTGAAGGCTCCGAAGCTTCCCACCAGGCCTGTTAAGCTGACATCTAGTCTGGTTGGGAAAGCTTATACGGCAGCAGGTCAGGCTGGCGCATGCTTGCACACCATGGCGGTGTTACAAGCGTACCAGGCTGACCTGCTCAAGGACCTGGATGACAGGGAGGAGGGGGAA